AGGGAAGTGAGTGAGATCTTCTAAATTTACAAGGTTTACTTCATTAATTTCATTTAAATTCACATCACAAGCAATAATAACTTGATTCAAAACTCTAAGACTAAGATGGCCAAGCTTGTAATACTAAAGCTTCCTAATAGAGCTACATTTAGAACTAGCAATATTATTCTTGTTATTTCCAACTTGTTCTATCAAGAGAGCTTTATGAAAGCCTTTGAAATTGTCCTTTTGTAAATTGACCTTCTTTGCATCTACCTTGTATAGTCCTCCTTTATGTTTCACTGCTTGGAGCAGTGTAGTTTTGTTCCTTATGTTTTAACAACAATAGCAGAAGAATTTAGAGATACCTTAGCATATTATCATATGAAAGCTTAGGAATGCTAATCAAATTCTTCTTAGTGTTAGGAGCACAGAGAATATTATAAGAGTAACAAATTGACCAGGCACGTTTTGAATATTAGAAGAGCCCATTTGCTAAATTGGCATATTTTGACCATTAACAACAAATAATTTGACCTTAACATCTATCTTAACTACATTCTCAAGCCTAGTTGAGTCATTTGTAATATGAGTGGCCTGGTAGTACCACTGTCTAGGTACCAAAAATCATCATTCACCACCTCTAGTAATGCATAGTAGATATAGTCAAAAGATGTGTTTCCATAGTCAAATTTGCTTTTATTGGTTGGTGGCTTGAAAGACCTATCAAATTATTTAAAGTAGTTATTAACATTGTGCCCTAGTTTGTCACAAAGAGGATAAGGTGTCTTATTACCTCTATAGCCAGAACGCCCTCTTCTTGTAGTTTTATGACATATCACGCCAGCCACTACAAAAAGAGAAGTCAGAAACAAGATTAGCAAATTGGATAGAAACATTACATTGACTAATCTGATTTAGTTTCTTAAGCTTGGATTCATGAATGAGCAAAGATGCTAAAAATTCAAGCTAGCTAAAATCTTCCTTGTCAAGCCCTTAAAATAGAGGATGACTAACACGGGTGTAAATTACATTGCGCACTCCCGTAAGCCTAAAAATAAAAATTTATTTCATTTTTTTAAACAATCAAGTTAAATAGAAGTTTGTCAATTACAATTGTCTAGTATTATCAATTGACCAGTAGCCTATAGGAGTCTTATTTGTTGAACACCTTTTAAAAATAATTTTTATAATAAATAAATAATTTTTTTAATTTTACCCTTTCTTGATTAACGTGAATGCATTTAATATAATTGTATTATGATTTAAAGAGAGTAAAAATAAAAATATCTTTTTTTTCTATGATATTAAGAAAAAAATTAACTTTTTTTAATTGCTTGAAATGGTTGAAAATGTCTTATAATAAATATAGAAATGAGTAATGATTGATAACTAATTGTCCAATACTAATTGATAACTTCAAAATGATTTTATAAAACTTTTTATATATATATATATATTTATTTTGTATAAGACTTGGGAGTGTGTGTCTGTGCGCACACTTTTCATGCTAGCTGATCCCAACAGTATTTACATAACATCTCAAATTTCTCAAAAGTAGGGAATCGAACTTAAAGCCAGAAGACTTTTTAAATTTGATCAGAAGTTAAAGATCTTGAAGCTCATTGAAGCAGGGCATTCGAACATTTCTCCTTATTTGTGTTGTAAGATCCAAATAAAGTGGTCGATCAAATCTTCTTTTGTGAGACTCAGCTCTTATTCAATTGGAAAATGCTGTCTACTCCATAGTTTGTTCTTATCCTTTGTATACAGCCAGATCCTTCGTCGAATAATAATTGGAATAAAAATATATACAGAGCATGTTAATCCACACAGGATCTTTTAGAATGAGTATTGAACGAATCCAAATAAAAAAAAATGAATTTAAATCATCCGAAGTTGGAATTGATAAATTTCGGTGAAGTTTGCTTTATTTTTTTTTTTGTAGTATCTTCACTCAACAACAACAAGCTTTATCCTACTAAATAGGATTGATTATATAAATTGTGTGACATCATTATACTCTATCATTTATCAAATTTTAAAATATTGTTAACTAAGAGATTATAATCAACAAATTTTGTAAGTGTTTTCTTTGACCTTCCTCTACTTCTTTTAACAGGGCCTAAAATTATTCATTCTACTCTCATAATTAGTGTCTACCACGATGTTCTTTGCACATGTTCAAAAAATCTCAAATAATTTTTTATCATTTTTTCTTCAATAGATGCTACACCCACTTTTTTCTTGTATGTACTCATTTTGAAATTTATCTTTACATATATATTTGCACATCCATATAACATTCTTGTATTTACTATTCTAACTTTATGCTCTTATTGTTCTGTTAAAGCCCAACATTCACTACCCTATAACATAGTAATTCAATAAAATTTTTCTTTAAATTTATTAGATACCTTACAATAACAAATAACTCTGTTAGCCTTTCTTTAATTAAACCACCTAATTTGTATCCTATGTGCAATATTTTCATTAATTTTTCCATCATGTTAAATAATAACTCTCAAATAATCACTTGAATTATAATTTAATCTCCTAATATCACTTCCTAATTACTATTGACTAACCTCTTATCAAAATTATAATATAAATATTTTATCTTACTTTTACTCAAGTAAAAACCTTTTTACTTCAATATCTTTCTTCATAACTCAAGTTTATAGTTAATCTCTCCCCTTGTCTCTACAATAAGAACTATATTATCCGTAAAAAGTATGCATTTTAGAATTTCCTCTACAATATGCTCATTCAAAATATCTAGGACCAAGTCAAACAAATAAGAACTCTAAAATGATCCTTAATGTAGTATAATTCTTATAAAAAAGTCTTTTGTTTCACCGCTATATATTTTTATACTAATTGTTGACCCTCATACATATCTTGTATAGCTCTAATACAGACAACTCGAACTTACTTATTTTTTAAGGCTTTTTAAAGTACTTCTCTCAATATATAATTATAAATTTTTTTTAAATCAATAAAATCATGTGCAAGTCTTTACCTTTGTATATGATAAATGATAATTTTATATTTTTTTATCCTTTTAATTTAGACTTTTAAATATTTAATTGAGATTAATTGAGTCTAATTGAATACTTTTTTATTTTATTAGTTAATATTTAGTTTTAAAATTTTAACTAACTAAATCTTTAATTTTAAAATATAAATAATATATTTAATATTTTACACAGTTGATATTTAATTTTATTTTATTTGTACAACTTTTCTAGATTTAATTTAAAAATATTGATAGAAATTATTATAAATAAGAAGAATATGAATATACTTAAAGATTAAATTAAAAATTAAATTTTAAAATTTTATTTATATTTTTAATTTTTTAATGTAGTTTTTAATTAGGATTATTATAATAAGAAGAATATGAATATACTTAAAGATTAAATTAAAAATTAAATTTTAAAAATTTTATTTATATTTTTTAATTTTTTAATGTAGTTTTTAATTAGGATTATCTGAAGTAATTTTGTTTTTGTAATAAATTATTAGGTTTTATTTGAAAAGAAAAAAAAGACGCGGTTGCACAAGAGGCCCACAACTTTGGGAATGAAACTGGGACCCACGACTTTTAATAAATAGAGAGGAATTGGGAAGACACGGACGACTTTAGAATTGAAAAGAGGGGGCGTTGGCGGCAGAAAATTTTGGAGAAGGGCAGAGACGTGTGCTATCGCAAACCTCTTTACCTTCTTCAATTTCGGTTCAGCCTGTCATGGTGACGCTCGTTTCATGTTTTGTTGGTGTGATTTACAAGTTTTAAGTTATGGAGAGCTAATTTTCGTGGTATAACAGTTATAAATTATAATTTTAAAATTTAATCAGAGTCTTTAATATTTAAAAAAGATTTTATTTTAGTTTTATTTCAATTTACTCTTATTCTCTCTATCTTTAAATTTTATGATTTAATTATTATTATTAATTAGAATAACTTTATTATATGATTTTTGAATTATAAATTTTATTTGAGATTTTAATTACTATAATCAATTAATATAGTAACTTAAGAGTGATTTGACCTAGCGTGGGTAATTATTCAAGCTTTATTTCTGGTGTGTTTAGTATATAAACAGTTGTTAGATTGTGGGTTAAGGGAGATTTTAATTAATCTATAACTTAATTTTTTATTTAATTCTTGAATGATAATTTGAAAAAAAATATAATAAAACTAAAATAATAAAGTTTAATATAATTAGTTTATTTTGTGGATGATGAAAATTAAATTTAATTAGGTGATTGAGTTGTAATTGATTGCTTTACTTATTCTTGATAATTTTCTCAGCTGAATTTTCTTTATTTAATTTTAATTTAGTTTTTTTAAATTTATTTTATCATAAAAAAATTTCTCATTTTTTACCTTTTTATAACTATAATTCAAATAGTTGCTATATTAACTTTTAGAGAAACAGCCTAAGTTGCATTTTATTATAAAATTTAATTTTTATTAATTTTGATGTTATTCGACAGTAGTGTTGGTATCGATAATTTTTCATTAATCATCTTAATAGATGAATATTTTTGCAATTGCCCTGCTTGACATGGAGCAAAACTTATTCTCAAAAATATTAATTTTTAATTTCAACTTATATTCAATTACTCTTTTCCATAATTTTATTATTTGACTCATAAATTTAACCCTATATAGTTAGCAATATTTTGAATATCCCTCTGTAGTATTTTTGCTCACTTTATTACTTTTTATAAAATATAAAATCTTCTCTTTCTAAAAAAAAACTTTACGGAAATTCACAAATTCTAACTTTAAAGAATATATCAAAAATAAAGGTTCATTTTAATTTCAAAGCCATATATAACTTTTGATTTACAGAGACTTACGAATGAATGATAGATATCTCAAGTATCTTCTTCTCAATTCTAAAATTAAATCTTTGTATGCAAAACTCGTTTTATTTTCACGTCATTCCGTTGGATCTACATCAGAGAGAAACAAAGAAAGCGCCCTTCTATCTCCTCTTGGATGATAATAATGTAAATTTGATATATATACTCATATATAAATTGATGAACAAAAGTCTAGGACAAAACGAGAGATATATATACTGCATGTATCGTCTGTACAATTAAAATAGCAATTGCCTTTTTCTTTTTCCTCCACGTCTTTGTTTGTGGCCTCGACGCGTTTTCGAGGACTTATCAGAAGACTATAAGATGAAACTGAAAAGTGTGTTTGCTGGCTCGTCTTGTTTCTCACCAGAGGCGCATGCTTTAGACTTCGCTAACCCAAAGATAGAGGTTGAACTTCGATGGACTGTGTATCATAAATTACCACCCAATCCCTTAGCCTCTGATCCCTTCATGATTCTCAGCCTCTTGCAAGATGACATGAACATACTGCAATATCACCAGAAACAGCTCCATAAGACATGGTGGAAATATATACGAGACACATAATATTCTAACAAATATTTAAATCTTAAAGGGTAGATCTCAGAAGAAAAGATCAAGAAAATCAGAAACAGGCAACTTACTTCCATGGAACATCTCCAACAAGCATCCAGTCGCCATCCTTGTCTTCATAAGTAGGAGCGTATTCAGATCCGTTGTACCCTTCCCTTTCTGAGTATTCACCTGTACCATATCAGATTAACCCAGAATCATTACTAAAATGTTTTCCTTGAGATCTCAAGCGAAAATTGTAAACTGATCGATGTAGAGAATCTGTGGGGTTTTCTTACCAAAGGTGCACTTGAACATGTTCTGCAAGGCCTTGAGGAGTTGTGTGTAGCTGTTGTAAACCTTGAGATCTATCTTCCTCAAATAAGGTGCACCGTCCATGCTCACTTTCACATACATATTTCCGGCCCCGTCACCCTCTTGCGATCCCTTTCTTTGCTGGACACAATTCTTCCTGTAAGATCGAATGGGTGGCCATCCCACTACTTGTACCCTGCACCATCAATTCTATGTCATTACACGTTTTTTTATATATAGATATATAAATCAAATCCTGTTTAATTAATTCTGATGAAATATTATCATCACTTACTTTCCCGGTGGGGCGTTATCTTGATCGTCGGAACTGTTACAGGCGTTGTTCTTGCTTACGCATGACTCCTCATCCTCACTTGATTCCCGCCGACACCTCTTGTTGCTCCTGACGCTGCATGAACGTTGATCTTCTTCATCCCCTCCTGGCAATCCCAACCTTAGCTCCGTGTCCTTCAGATTCATGAACTCACCGTCGAAATTGATCCCCATTTCTTGATTATCTCTGAGCACCAGAACTTGCTGCTGTACGTGTATTAATCCAAATCCAAAAGGTTATTTCGATTCTGATTTCTGAGTGCGTGTGTGTCCGAGAGAGAGATGGCTGTGGAGATGTTGATCGCCGAGCGCTTGGTGAGATGCAGATTTTGAGATTGAAGACTTGGTTCCCAGGCTCATGAATTTTATAGCAGACTTGGCAAGGGACAATATCGAGCTCACATATTCTCTTGGTTAGGCAGAAAGCGAAAGTGAAAGCCCACCTGCTTGTGTTACACGCGACACCTCACCGGCCAACCAGATTTGGACAATGAAGAGGGATCCAAGCCACGAAGGGAGGGCGCGTGAGGGGAGTTTGGGAGGACAGATATGAGTGTCGGTCACTGGAGGGACAAGAGAGAGAAGGAGGTCGGAGGAAGAGGTGACAACGGCTGATGATGAAGGAAAAGAGATGGGGACCACAAGCGGAACAGGGCCATGTGAGGTGGGGGGAGGAAGGGACCCACGTTAGTGTCGTTCATTGGACGGACAAGACCATGTGGATGGATGTTGTCTCTGACAGAATTTCAATGTGGCCTGTGGCCACATCGCATGTGGGATACCATGTGAACCGGTCAGCTAATCCCTCCTCTTCATTCTTCTCTCTCATCATGCAAAAAATATTCATTATTCCCCTCCTTCCCTCAATGCGTATACATTTATTTTTCACAATGTTAATACATATAAATAAAATTTATAGGCCAAGAGTATTTCCCTCAATGCCACCCCACCACGGCAAGGAAGAGGTTGTGAGTACTCGAATTTATTGGAACCCTAAGAAGTAAGAAGGAATCTACTGTCTCTTGCAGAAATAGAAATGGAATGGCTAACTCAGGGCAAGAATATCACGCAGGATACTTAAATTAAAAATACTGTTCATTACACACTCTCATATCATCGCAGCTCTTCTGCCCCATTTGCTCGTAATGATCAAATTATTTCCGATCTTGTTTCAAAAAGAGGTTATAAGTTCTATTCATCATGCGTGATAAAGTGGTTGCGACTAGTATTGGTGTATGGTGAGGTAAGTGTGCGTGTGAGTGTTTATATTTACTTGATTCAATTCAAATGCTTTTAATTCACTTTGTAGAACTTAAAAGTAATACGTTTCATTAAAATGATAAAAAATTATCATTATTTTTTAATATCATCCTTTAATTAAAACTAATATTCTTAATTACTTTTAATTTCTTTTCTTATATAACATCTTTCTGTTATATGCTTTTTCTGGATCATAATATAAAACATTTTGAAAGTTAAGTCTCACTTTGTCCAAAATATACAGAGTATTGAGTAGGTTATATATATGTATGTGTGTACAATTATACTCGTAATTTATTATATCTCACTCAATTAATTAATAAGAATTTTTTCAATAAATCAAATATTATATTTATTTCATCCAAGAGTTGTTAAATTGAAAAGTTGTGAATTTTTTTAAAATTAATATTTTAACTAACTTTCTTAGAAGCATAAATTAATTAAAAATAGTGTATATTATAGTCGGATGGAGTAATTAACATTTATCAAAAAAATTTAATGCTATTGATTTTTTACTAAATGTCTATATTTTGAACTGACACTAGCTAGCTGATAGAGCATTACATATGGGAAACAAACGAGTGAGAAAAACTGTAAAATTAATTAGAGTATTTTGAGCACTAATATCCTACATTTAGCACTACAAGAAATCCTTAAACTATGTCTTACACTTACGATTAGATGGAGTGATAATTAAATACATAAAACTATTAAAAGGTAGAAGTTCAAACATTATATTGAAGGGGGGAATTTTCAACTTGTGACATATTTCAAAAGGAACTTTTTCTTAATTTTGATGAGGTATTTTTTTTTTTTAAGACCAGAGTACTTTATCCCTTTAGTATCATAGGGCACTTTTAATTAATTTTTACTCTCAATAAGATTTAACATTATAATCACATAGAATATTCTCTATATGTTAACCTTTATTTAATAGGATATCTTAAATAAAAAAATTTATTAACTACATTTTAAAAGACAATACCTGTCTTATAATAAAGTTCAACAAAGAGAGCAATATGTATGAAATGATGCATACAGCTTTAAGTATTTTGGCTTATTGCTTCGATTTCGTACCCGGGGGGGGGGGGCCACATTAATCTTTTTTCTCCCTAAAGAAGTTGACAACATGTCGCAAGAAATATGTTGGTTGGGCAATAATTTGATGTGCCCCAAGCCAAGCACTCGTGACTGTTCATCTTTTTCAAACTAATAACCAGCTGGAGGCATGGTACAAAAAATTAAATAACAATGAAAGGAAAGATCAAAGGAATTAGAAGTTGTTGGTTGGATGGATTATATTGACTATTGAGCGTAGAAGAAGCACTGAAAGTACAGTAAGAAAGGAACAAATAAGATGGAGAATAAGCACATATAAGTTTGGGCCACAGTATTAAGATCGAAAGCAACCAGGAAGAACGTAACACAGACGCATGCACAGAAACAACTCATTGCTATCAGATGACAAGTATCATGACACAAGAGATCCATATAATGAAGCCTTTGATTCATACGTGATCGTAAAACCACACGCACTCTCTTCTCAATCCTGGCGAGCTGATGGTCACTTCTCTCAGAAGCATAACACATGCAAGCTAATTAGTATATAAAGTTCCTGTATGAACTTTTGTTTTGTTTTAAAGCGTCAACGGAAAAATATATATATATATATTAAGAAAGAAAAAACTAGCGAGAAGGTTTATATATTAATAAAGAGGAAGAGAGGGTGCGAAGAAGGGTCAATTTGAGGTGATGGGAAGGAAAGTGAAGGAAGTATCGAATCAGAGGACACACGTGTGAAGGAGAAGAGAGTGATGGTGAAAGGTGGGGCGAGAGGCACACGTGGGTGTGGGAGATGAGTTAGAGGTTAAAAGAAGGTACGTAGCTTAACAAGGGATCAAATAAATGAAATAATCCCATTCAAGAGTTTGGTCCCTACTGCTACGTATTACCCCACCACCTCTCAACACCATATGCCTAATCATCTCTCCAAACTAATCTAATCTTCATTGTTTTGGCCATTCCTCTTTTGCTTAGCTTTCTTCACTACTATCTCCATCCCCACGTCAAATCAGTGTAACGTCCTTCTGCTGTTCTAAACAGCAATTAATGTCAACAAAAGCAAAACGACAAAAAATATGGTCACTAATTACTTCATTCGTTAGTGTAATATCAGATCCCCTTGTAGACACATTGTAAAGGAGTGTTGAGTTCTAATTTGTACTGCTACAACAGGGCGTCATGCAGATCGGAATCTACTTCGTTTATTTTGTTATTATTGATGGAGTAGATTTTCATCAGAAAGTGTTCTGGCGATCTCTAACAATTTTCAATTCTTCTATCAATGGTGGGTGATAAAGCCCTTGATCTTGCCATATAAAATATGATCAACTAATGCCGTGAGAAAGCCGATAGCTCCCCCATGTTAACTTAGAATTAGGGCAAGACTGAAAAGTGAATAGTGGAAGTATAACTCAAGAATGTACATGTTCATCGATTGTTATTAATTTTAAAGTCTCAGGATCTGAAATCAATCACAGTTTTCAATAACATACCTATACATAGTGTATTAGTGTCCTAGTATAGCTCCATATTGACTTTGACTGTGTGCATATTCCTACATGCATGTGTTGGGGCTTTGAAGTCAGATCGTGGGTCAAAACCGACAAAATTTGAAAAAGTTGGTCAGCTTCTGATATTGGCCAGCCTATGTATATTCATACACTCGCATTGACAAGGAAACGAAGAACAGCATCACCTAGATAATTTAACATCATCAATAATATAAGGTCTCTGACGGTTCTTGCTAGGCAATGGATTGAATTGGACCCCATTAATTTCTTACACTGGCTCTCATGCATGCGTTGTTGCCTTGCATGAACAATGAATTGTCCTAGTCCGTGTTCCATAGAGCACCTTAATCAAATTCAAAACCCACAAATGATTCCTACCATGGAAGACATCTCGTTCTCGTTTAAAGTGATCACAGAATTTAGCTGCATGTATTAGGGCCGGCACACAGAGTTTGCTAGATTGAACAAGACTACGTTCATTGTTTCTTCTTCCACGGTGCATCTGAATCTGTATATATAAATTTTTCATACACAGTGGTATCTGAAAAAATTCAGCCTAACTTTATGTCTGGCTTGTTTCTTTTTTCATTTTTTCCCTATGAATAATATATAATTATCGAACCATGAGTTGTATTTTTATTTTCATTGTTGCAGAAGTCAAACGGAAGCTTGCTGGTTCATCAAGATATAGTTGCCAGGTTTGATAATTGGCAATAAGTGACTGGGTCTGAGTTGCCAAATATGAGCGAGCCAGGCATGTGATATAATGAGTATAGCGTACAAAACGAACCCGATTTCACAAAGAAAAGTCGGCCCAGAGCATGTGCTCAACTGATGACACAAAACTGAATGCGAAACATATATTGACAAATTTAATTCCATGGAAATCATGGGCACTCGCGAACTTCGAGGATGATCTAATGAAAAGATCCGGTGGAAACCTTAACCGTTGTGCGTGCATTAACATTTCATGCAAGAACCGTATCGAATTTGCACTGCTATATATTGAGCCCCATGAAAGCAGCCGCAGTTTGGATCACATTAAAACAAGAAAAGAAAAGAAAAGAAAAGCTTCAAGATCCAAGAAAAAGCAATACAACTTTTAACGCATTAAAAATAAAATAGTATCAAACTTGTCAGCGGACTGAGAAAATATAGTCTTGGATCGTGTTTGGTAACATTTTGTTGACCACTTTTCTGTGTAGGGTTTTTTCTTTTTTTCTTTTTTATTACCTTCTGAGAAAAACCCAACCCTCTGACCTCAACACGGTTAACTGTTTTAAGACACAGAGCTACCAAGTTAGCCCCCGTCCGCGGGTAATAAACTAGCAATATCTCTGAGGCATAATCATTGAACAATTATCTCAACCAATGCTAAAGAAAATAAAAATCATACCTATAGTATATAACAATTCTAGTACGATGTGTGCGTCTCTTTCCATCTCTTCCTAGCCACAATCTGAAAACCTAACTTCGCCCATAATTATTCTGTTAGACATGGTGGAGAATCGCAGAATCGCTAAACCATATGGATATGTTCATTGTAAGTGGAGGGCGAAGATCTCAAGGCATTAAGTTCAGAGCCCTTGAGGAGGGAGCATGAAGGGTTTTGAAATTAATGGATTCTAATTAATTAAATTTAAAGAAATGATTTTGAGCTTCTTAATACTAGTAGTAGAAGAAGAATTATGAGGAAGTAAGGGTGGGGTGCCCTACAGCGGCGCACATGGGAAAGGGTTTGGCAAGCATAGAACAAATCACATGTCCACTTATAGTGGGACCCAAACGGATCTTACCACATGCTTTGGTGTGTCTCTTACCCTTTGGGTCCCACTTGCTTCCTCTCCTGTCATTCTGATCAACTCTCTCAATTTCCATTTACGGGATACGGTGAAATCAGCAGCTGCCATCCCGTCCGAATCCCATACCATTTCTCCTACCACTTAGCAGTTAGTAGAAAGAGAATATATTTTTTTTATATTCCCATGGAAAGTTAAGTTTTATTAGTTTTATTTATATAGAGAGATCAGTATCTCGTCATAAAGTACTATATATGACTAAGAAATGTAAATTGATCTGGCACTAACTGATCATTTCTTTGTATCCAGCAACGGGATCATGGATGGAGTCTCTAAATTAATTTCATTTAACTAACGTGAATAAGTATCACAGTATCATTAAGCAAGAATGACAAATAGATAGGAAAACCGACGCAGCCTTTAATTTCCTTCATTATATGCTTCTCCCAACCCAGATTGGTTTGGGTTTAATTAGATTGATAGATATATGCCGAGGAGAGAAAAATGCATTTTGGAAAAGAATTGGTGAACGTGGACACCATGTGTGCCTGCAATTCTGAAAAGAACATGGCACACATCAACACCACAAATGCTATATATCTGCACTATTTGTAGCTACAAAAACAGTTGGCTGTGCCTTTCATATAATTGCGCATCGCCCATTTTGTTTTTGGCGAACCACCTTTATCATATAAGCAAACCAGGAGGGGTACATCCCAACAAAAACACTTTAACTTGTCCACACCACTTTAAAAGAACTGTCCTGTGTAGATATATATAGCTAATCAAAAGACTGCCAAGTAATTCAATGAGCATTCCATTTATTTTGATGCTTTTATTTCGTCCACGATGCCCCATTGGCCATAAAAAATGCAGTCACAAAGCAAATCAGAGAAGAACCAGAAACAATATGGTTGTTGTGATGGACAATCCCCTAATTAATTAAGCAATCCTGTTATCTTCGTCTCTGAAATTTGGTCAATTTAATTACGAGGTTCACTTGGTTTTGAATAATGTGTTCCAGATTAGGAACATTGAATGAGATAACTTCGTTTGTTTATATCTAGCTAATAGGCGACAAGGCTTACTTCTGAAAGAGCCAACACATTAAGTCGGACAAGCACTCCCAGCCATATGCTTAGATTTATATTTGGCGACTATCAGGGACCATAATAGATGCTTCTGTTTAACGAAGGGCAGCAAAAGGAAAAAAAAAAAAAACCTGTGTCACAAAGATCAAGAATCGTCATTTTCAACATGCTTCTCGATTTAACATGTATGCTTTCTCTCATACATGGTCACTGTTTGTTGAAAAATATTGAGCTATGGCTTTAGAAAATTCAATTCCGCTTCATCTAGAATCAGGACTGATATTATTACTATAGATGTGGAGTCAAGAATGGCTAAGGAAAATATTAAAAAAATAAATGGAGAAGAAAATAAAATAAAAAGAAAGGAAAAAAGAGAGAGAGAAAGAAAACTTCCCAATTTATTCTCTTTCTTCTTCTCTTTTTCATGTAGCCACCTAACATAAAATAACAAATCAATAAAAAATAAATTTTAGGGAATTAAAAATAATATTCAATAAAATTTGGAAAAATCTGCAATAAATTTCAAAAATTTCTTAAAAATATTTATCTATCCTTTTACCACAAATATTACCCATTTATTTTAAATTATATCAAAACAAACGTTAAAAAGTGAAGATAAGAGAGGTAAAAGTGTGTAAAATATATGAATGGTTAAGATGTAATTTCTCTTGTTTGTTTGTTTGTTTTTTTTTTTTTTTTTGCTCAATTATTATCAATTCCCAGTAAGGGTGGTCCGTTTGGAAGTCATTATTTCAAGTATCCACGAGTTCACTTGGGGAGTGAACTTCTTGAGTTTTACAAACTTATGGATCCTAGGTGTCCAAACCTTGGATCCATGATCAATATAATAATAAGCTCGTTTCTCAAATCCAAAGACGAATTGATATTATATATATATGTATATATATATATATATATATATAAAGCCTTCTAAAATTATACCAGCTAACTAATAATATTTGGGTAAATTCGATATATATGCTAACTGAAGTTCAGAATTTGACAGTTGACATGTGGGTCATAATATGTAGCATATTAATATTGACTTAGGTAGTGTAATGATCGGGTAAAATGAAAAATACATCTTACATTAAAAAATGAAACAGGAATAATTACGCTATTTGCAATGATGTAGGCGAAAAATATAATATAGAAGGGATCGTTTTAGTTACTTCTAGTATGAAATAACGAAACCCTAGGGATTGATCAAAAAAGGATTAAAGCAGGGAACATGGGGTGTCCATATTCACGTCTTTCCACTGAACAACCACTAGGAGATAACATCAGCTTGCCGTCACCTATCCCAGCAAGCTCGGAAAGTCCAGCTCACGCATCGTGCCACGTGTCACGAACCCATTCCAGCACAAGAGAGAAAGAAAAAAAGGCCCATGTGTGCTTCTATTAATGGCCACCACGCCCAAGTACACCCTCCTTCGTTCCCACCCGTACTATTAGTATATTATCATCACGATTCAGAAAGGCGACGGAAGCTTGTGAATGGTAAGAAAGAGAAAGCGATCCACACAGAAGGTGAACAGTGTTATTGATGGAAGTGATCGTAGGTGTGAACAAGGAGAAGATGGGTTTCGAGGAAACAGAACTGAGGCTGGGATTACCCGGAAATAATGGAGGCGGCGCCGAAACAGAAGTGGTTAGGAAGAGAGGTTTCTCTGAGACTGAATCAGAGAGTGTGGATTTGATGTTGAATCTCTCATCGTCAAAGGAATCAGATCCAACTGATAACCTCTGCAAGAATTCCCCAAAGGAGAAGACACTTCTGCCCTCTGATCCTGCCAAGCCTCCAGCCAAGTAAGTATTCATTTACTCTGTATATTATCTATGACAGTTCTCTTTAATCTTCTTCTCTACCACCAGATATAATAATTTACAGTGCCCACGCATTATTTAGGTCGGTTAGATAGCATAATCATGAGATAGACGCAGAAACAGGAGCGAGTGGCTTGCTTTTTGAAACAAAAGTTTAATTTACAATATAACTAATTAAATCAAACTCGCACGGTTTCGTGCCGCAAATGATATTTGTTATCTACGAAATCAAGTAGGGGAGGCAATATATATAGCCATTATTTTAGACTTGTACAAGTGCTGATAGATGGTTTAATTTGTACTGAATAAGTATTTGCTTTTCTTGCCGTTATGGCATATTTTTCGTTCTTTTAGTGAAAGGAATGTATATATGATGACATATTTGAGGCAAGAAAGTGAAACTGCAGTAGGTAGTGAGCTGGATGTGAACAAAACGAAGGCGGTTCATACATGCGCATTAAGTCCAAAAGCCTTGTAAGGGGATGTGAAATGAAGGATATAAACTAAGAAAGAAATCAATAGAAAATCCTAACTGCTCAACCTTTCTGTATTCTTTTCTTGGTCACATGTTGACTTTTCGAGCCGTTCAAAGAATTGCAAGTCGGAATAGAAAAGTTAAACTACTGAATATGGTGCTGTTGCTGATATTACTTGCGACCCATGCATATGTATATATGATTAATGAATTGTATGAATATCGATGATACAGGGCGCAAGTGGTGGGTTGGCCACCAGTGAGATCGTTCAGAAAGAACATATTAAAGAGCAGTGGAGAAGAGAGCGAGAAAGGAATCCCTAACAGTAGCGGAAGCTTCGTGAAAGTGAGCATGGATGGAGCTCCTTACCTTCGCAAAGTGGACCTCAAGTTGTACAACACTTACCAAGATCTCTATGACGCCTTGGCCAAAATGTTCAGCTCCTTCACCATAGGTACGTGCCTATATGCCCCACCTCTTTTCTATTTTAATTAATTTCTTTTCCCTTAACACTCAAATAAAATTATATATAAATTCATGATCTGCATATATTGCTAGTTATTTAATGTTGCGTTGTCGATTGAAGGCAACTGTGGATCCCAAGGAATGAAGGATTTCATGAATGAGAGTAAGCTGATGAATCTCTTAAAAAGCTTTGACTACGTCCCAACCTACGAAGACAAAGATGGCGACTGGATGCTTGTGGGCGACGTCCCTTGGGAGTAAGTTTTTCCATCTCATTATCATTATACCCAAAAATTAAAACGACCCAATCCTTAATTATAACAATAAGTATCGTATTCTCTCCCTGCTAATTATAATTACCTTTTCCCATATGTCCACCCAGGATGTTTGTGGAATCATGCAAGCGTTTGCGTATCATGAAAGGCAAGGAGGCTATCGGACTTGGTAAGTAACACGTTTTCCCCACTTTTCCATTATAATTGATCATCTCATCAAAATATCTAGTGATTATGTAAATATATATAGTACGTCGTCATATTCTGAGATTGAAATTATCATTTGGGGTTTAAATTTCAGCACCGAGAGCCATGGAGAAATGCAAGAACAGAAGCTAGAGTATACATAGTGGTTACAGCAGAATCCATGACCTGCCAATACTCCTTTGTAATTGTGGTCCGACCGTGACCAAGTAATGGAGCTAGTGAGAGAATGGATTGCAGTTTTTTTTCCCTGTATCATTAATATGCATTATATGTATGGTTTGTCATGTAATATTTCATACGAGAGGCATTGACATGTCTTAAATAGTACTGGTTAAGAACAGAAAAACAGTGATGGAGCTATTATCTGTTCTGCAAGACTTGTTATGGCCTTCTTCGAGCCAGAAAAACAAAAAGACTCGGCTTTCTTTAATTACTTGTTTTGATTGTCTACTTTTCTTGCTTGTTTTATAATAACAAGCTTAATGATGTGCCTGGCTATTCTAATCATCTATCTATCCTTGATATTGGTGTTCAATTTTTTTTTAATTATTATCATTTTCTTTTTATATATTTTTAAATTTTGTATGATCAAAATGAACTTCCGTATGGATTTTAGTTTACGATCAAGGATCGAGTAGCACTGGAAATGTTCCCTAACAAGTTGGACAAGGAAACAAAATCATGTGCGTGTTCATTAATGCCTGCCAGCCAATATAGGTTCTTGATTAAGTGTATTATTGTGACACATAAATACACGCAAGTATATATAACTAGTTTCAAAATCTACATGACCTCTCTTAGCTTGTTTTTAATTCAATATTCCTAATTTCAGGCACAAACATACGTAGAAGGTTCCTCTTTATAAAATCCAACCACTAAGGCGTGAATTTTGTATTTAGGAATTTTTTCGGCTAATTATTTTAATTAAGGAATTAAAAGTTTATGATTGTCCAATTACAGTGATGATAAGATGAAGCGAAAAAAAATTATGCATTATGTTGTTAACTTGTTATGAAGCAACATGATATTTTATTAAATATTTAAAGCATCAAATTGTTTAATAATTTAAAACTTTAATATAAATGATTAAATTTTTATATAATTAATGAGTGTAATTATAAAAATAAGTTTAACAAAAATGGGTGGATTGGGTATTATTTTATAGTGTTAAATGATAATTTAAATTCTGAACTATAGAATCAAAAATAATTTATATTTAATATATTTTAAATTTTGAATAATTAAACTTAAAAGCCTCTTATCGTTAGTTCCAAATAAGCGTTGTTACTTTCTAAATAAAGGGCTCATCTTCACCGTCTCTCTCCTTCTCTACTTCTCTACTCCCTTGCTCTCCCTCCTCGTCCTCCTCCTCTGCTGACTGCTTCGTGTTGTTCTTCTTCTTCTTGTGGAGACAACCTCCCCAATGACATCCTCAACCAAGATGATCGAGACCTTGAATCCTTAATGCCTGAACTTTGTCTGCGAGCTCAGTGTTGTTGAAAGAATCAGCCACCATCTCCTGATAGGTTTCCGCTGCCTGACCTCTCCGCTTTCTTCTGACATTTTTGGAGGTTCCAGCCCCGACTCTTGCTCAGGTTACTGCTGTTTGGCTCTTCTTGTGGGTTTCCTCCGAGGAAGAGACTCTGTAATTTGTCAATTTAGATACAAACACCGAAATCAAAAAATCAAACCTTACCTGCATCGCTATTGAACTCGAGCAAGATAAGTAATCATTAAATACTGATATGATAATTGTGTAAGTAAATATGAAAACGAAAATATTATATGGGGTAAAGGTGAGATCGAACTGATTCATTTCGTTGGCAGTGTAGATGGGCGAGAACAAAACAAGCCGGTGTTGTAAATCCACTGAGCCGAGATGGACGGCACAGCTACGACGTCGTCTTGCTGCATAGCATTGATCTTTTGGTGCTCGTCTAATTGGGATAACGCCAAGCAGTTGGCCGCTACAGGAAGGAGGCTGCGCGTGGGGGAGATTGTGATGGCTAGAAGATAGACAAGACCGTGATCTGGACCTTGCACGAATAGTTTGGATAGAATCAAAGAAGCTCTCGCACATCGTAGTCCCAGCAATCCTCAGCCGTTGTCAACGATCAACAAGGCTATGGCTGGAGTAGTCAACGATGCAGCTCCCAGTGCCGATGTAGTCGCCGTTGGTGAACACCATGCTCGGAATGAGAGGCAGTCGGTGCATTGGAGGAGCACGGTAAACTAGCTCGTGGGGAGGAGAGAGAAAATGATTGTGCAGAGCTTCCAAAGGACCTGAAAGTGATTGCGAGGAGCAGAAGAGGAGTCTGCCTGATGAGTAGTGTCACGCCCCAAAAAAATAAAGTTGACCAATGCAGAATGCGAACCAGATCATATATCTCGTAAGTTATAAATTTAAAGTTTATTTTATTTAATTAAAATATACTCGATTTTATGCTGACATTTTAATATTATTGATATTAATTATATAATAATTACTTTAATATTTTATAAAAATTTTGAAAGAACCTCTTGTCTAATTAAGATTTTTCAAAAATTCTGTATCAAAAAAAAATTTTCTTAAACATTTTATCAATCAGGAGCTCGACTCCTTCCAACCAACAGACAAAATATATAATAAATTAAGGACTCTAATTATAAGTTATGTAGAACACCTAATCATATATCTCATGACATAATACATAAATTTCATCTTTACATTCATAAGATATATTTACAGAATAAGCCTCCATTCTGTTCCGCAAACACCCATCATTGGTGAGCAAGACGTACAAATCAATGATGCTATATGAGATCAACACAATTTTTCAGTGAATAACGTTTCAACAATAAATAATTTAACATGAATAAAAAAAAGTTTGAAATAATCATGTAAATTAAAGAGACAACAATTTTCCTAAAAAAAATGTATAATGTCAGACTAAAATGACTCTATAAAATTTTGAATAAAGTCTTAAACTATTGAACTATAATAGCAAATATTAATATCACTTGATTTTTAAGAAGTCACATAAATGAAATACATACTTGTAAATAAATTCCTATAAAATCACCAAATAATCATATTCATAATTATAGGAACTTATTAGAACAATTAATAAACGTGGACACATAATTCACAAGGGTAAATATCCCAAAAGCAACTTGTGTCATGAAGATAAATGTAGACACACAGTCCACGAGGGTAAGTAACCAAACGCAGTCGAAGCCACAAAATAAATGTGGACACACAATCCACGAGAGTAATGATAACCAAATACGGCTCAAAGCCATGAAATCAAACGTGAGTACGATGCTTACAAATAACTATCCCTCTGTTCCACGTGCGTTGGCCATCGCACGGGATTAGCACCTGCTATAAACACCTTGCTAGTTAGGTGTACCATGATGTGCCAATGGCTAATAGAACTTCCGTTAACAACCAGTGTTCTGTATAAAGTCCTTTCTTAAAATCATTTTCAAACATGTGAGAAAATCATCACTTTCAAAATACAATTCTCATTCTTAAAATCAAACTCGCATGAATACTTTTAAGCATTAAAACTTGTCAGAATAAAATTTTATATCCAATACTCATGCTTGCATTTATTAAATAATCAAAAATTACCAATACTAATGAAAAGCAATTTTATCAATCCTATTCTCATAAGCGGTAAAACATTCATATGTTATGATAAATCATTTTTCGCCACCATTGTAAAACTTAAAAATGAAAAAAATTTAATTAACAAAGTATCACTAATCAACATAATTATTATTAAAATAATCAATGTAACAAAATAAATTTTAATAAGAAAAATTAATTGATAAATTAGTTGGGATGCTATCCACTTACTTGAAGTGTGCTCAAGCACTAAAATTAACTTTTTAAAACCCAATCAAACCTTCCTTCCACAAAATACCCTATCTAATATAAAAAGAAAATTCAATGTCATAATCAAGTTTGATAAACTCTTTCCAACTCTTGTCAAATGCAAGCAACAAAACTTAATTAATATTATATATACACATAGTATAATTAATCACTCTAAATTCCAGTTTCTCATATCACCCTTTCTATCAAGCAACTCAAAGGCATTCCCAAATTAAATTTTTAAACATTATCATTTATAATTATTATCCATACAATTTTATAGAATGCAACTTGTCTCAGCACAATTTCATACTCAAAATTCTTCATATGATTCAAGTTAAATTCATGAACAATTAATACCCAAACTAAGTATGTACCCATTAGAGTTAATGAAATTTAACAAAAAATCATATTCGATCACAACTCAGCATTCCACTAAAATACAATCTCCTAATAAACTTCTTGTCAAAATTCCAAAACTACATTACTTCCAATATTCCACAATAAGGCTTATTTTCCCTCTTATTATTATTATTATTATTATTTTTTACATTCACATCCCTTATCACATAGTTCATCAACAACCATTTATTTTTATGATTTCAAAATTTCCTGTACAAATGTCATGCTCAAATTCCCTTTGTAAGTTTATAGAGTAATAGTACTTAAATTGAACATACTAATTGCAATGACCAATTAAAGTTAAAAAATATACAACCTAAGTAAAGTTTTTTCGTCATTATCATAAGCACCTTCCGAACACTAATTCTTAAACCCAAATCAAACTCCTTACTCTTTGATTTCATTTCCTAAAGATTTTCAATATAAACATTTAAATCAAACAACCTCTCAAATCCTATACCTACCAAAAAAAGTATAAATCTTAAATCCATAGGATTCAAATTAATTAAGTACCACCTTGGTCTAACATTAAAATTTCATCTTGAATCAACCTCTCATCCTTTTCAAAAATTCACGATAGTAGAAAAATTAAAGCTTCATCATTTTAGTCCTAAGATACGCACACACAAAAAAAATGATGAGAGAAAAGTAGACTCAAAATCTCTTTACCTCCGTTCACACTGGTAGACACTGAGAGGAAGGGACGAAGGCAAATATAGGGAAAAATGACATCCATCAAAATAGACCTCCTACAACCACTTGAAAGGACGCTGTAAACAGGGAGAAAATTTTAAACTCCCTTAAACCAAATCAGAGACGAGAAGCACGAGAGGAGGAGGAAAAAACAAATAGTGGCACACAAAAATAGCTAACCATAAGAACTAGGGAAAGAAAAGCTCACTGTGAGACTTCGCATCAGCAGCGAACGGAGCTATCGTAGCTATCAATGATGATGATTTGGTAGCTAGTGAGGTTGATTGATCCCTGATGCGAAACAAGGGAGATAATGAAGAACTCCAACATTCCCAAGTAGCAAAACAACAGAGGAAGGAGAGGAAGGCTCCTCGTTCATGATAGCCGGCGTCAACCAGTAGGGAAATGGAGGAGGTAAATCGGAGGAGTTGAGGACGTGCTAGCTGATTCTGGAGCTTTCGAAGAAAATGAAAAAAAAATGAGAATGGAAGAAATTGATCGTGCATTTTATCTCTATCACTCTGTTCTATTTTTTTTAATACCGAAGGGTAAACTTGTAATTTCACCCAAACACTGGAGCCAAATTAAATGAAATTGCACAAGATAGATTCGAACCAAGGACCTAAAGAAGTAATTGACAACACAACTACCACTAGACCAACGATCCTTCTTCTCTAAACATTTCCAAAATTAATACAAATATAATTAAAATACATTATTATATATTTTAAATTTTACTTAAAATTCTTGAGTATTACAAGTAGATCTCATACTTTTATGTTGATACTTCCACTGACGCTTTGGAGGGTCAAAGACAGAAGCTTGGGACTTGGCATCAAAGGCTTGGGAGCTCCATGTCGTCCTTCTACATTTCAGTGTAGTTTTTCCAAGAAATGAGAAGAGGGAGGAGAGGAGGAAGCCACCTGGTAGAGGAGAGAGTAGTGATGAGAAGGAAAAAAATTCTTGGGCCACCATTAACAATTAATGCACATTTTTTTAATATAAGGCCACAAAATGACTATTGTCTAGTTATATCTAAAGTCTTAAGGCTTATATAAATTGTGGGGTAGATTGTTAAAAATAAAAATATCAAAATCTTCATAAGATGTCTTGTGAAATAAAAAAATTAGCGCAATTGTTAGCTTTTATATAGACATAATTGAATGTGATCATCTCATCTCTCATGATAGAGATCTTCGAACTATATCCATGAAATCAAAGTAGACATTAATTTTGGTAAGATTCTCATTTCTACAAAGGTTGAGACCTTCTAACATTCACAGAGGCTCGACTGTTGTACTAAGGTGATAGCCTAGATTCTTGAAAAATCCTTTAATCTAGTTTCTTTTATCATCTCTAATAATGCTCTCATTAATAGCAACACCATTAGTATTAACTAAACTCTTAACATCAAGTCTAACCCAGCTAGGTTCATGAGAGCTCCATTTAGCTTCATATTTGTCATCATATTTGCTCAATTGGCTAATCTTGGCTTGAAGTTTTAAATCGTTTATTATTTGCTATGTACATTGACACACATTTTGAAATTAACAAAAGGAGCCACATTTGTATAAATTTAATTGTTGGAGGTTTAAAATATATTAAATATAAATTCAGGTTTCAAATTATTTTTAGACCTATAATTTAAAGTTTAAATTACCATTTAATCTTATTTTATATTTAGTAACTTCTCCTTTTAAATCACAATATACCAATAAGTCATTATTTACTAATTTATATTTCTAAAAAAGGTGGTTAAATATTGATTTTCTAAAAAATTTCACATAGTTTCAATCAAACCCTTGATTGAATTAAATATAATATTTAAGTTATTCAAAATACCCTCATTAATTACTTGAGTGGAATATAATAAAATAAAAATATAACTGAAAAAATAATAAAACACATCAAATGCTCTATATTTAGGACTAAAAAAAACTTCTAGAAAACTCCCTATATTGTGGTTTAGTGGGAGTATGATATAGATAAAATATACTCCTTCCAATCTAACATATAAGTATTTTCTCTAAACTAATCTTGATCTAAAATAGAAACTTAATATTTATAAAAAAAATTATTTTATCCCTTATATTCATTAATCTGAATTCTCATATTTGTGAAATTATAATGTTCTCAATCATCATAAATTGAAACTAAAAATAAAAAAAACCATATATATTTTTATAAGAATAAAAAATTTATTAATATACAAATTATTATTAAAAGCGGATATATGTGTAAAATGTGAAGGAAAAAAAAAAGGAACATCCATAAAAATAATTATTGAAAAATGACAAATTGAAGAATTTTAAAGCCTAAGCAAAAAAAAAAAAAAATTGAAACCTGCGTCCGACAGATGGAGAGGAAGAACGCAAGGCAGGGTATAAAGGATAGAAGAGATGAGGGATGAGAGAATAGATAGAGTAGGGACATCACAGAGAGAGAGAGAGAGAAGAGGGTAGGGAAAAACTTACAAGTAAGGAACAAAATGATCATTTAAGTTTTGAAAATGAGGGCAAAAATATCATAAGATGTAAATTTCCAAAAAATAAATAAATAAATAAACAAAGGAATAAAAGAAAAGGAGAGACATTCAGAGATAGGCAGAAAGAGGCTTCCATGAATTTTGATGGAATCTTGTGTCCAATAGAGTGGAGATTTGCTTGCACAAGTGGTATTTTCATTTCGAATTTCATTGCGAAGTTAGAATTCTATCGTACCGAAGGAGATTTCTAGAATCAGTGCCAAATTGGCATACATAAACCTAAGAATCGAAGTTATAAGGAATTGTTGTTGAATGGTCCCTCATTTTTTGTGGCACGTATGGATGGGATTTAGGTGATAGCTAGTGTTGGGCCGCTGATAGCAATAGCTGTGGTAATAAGTTGTATGTCAAGATCTATATAAAAAAAAAAAAAAAAACTAAACTGTATGTCAACATTATTATCCTTTAATTTTGACAATATATTAAAGTAAAGCAACAGCAACCTAACAATTTCAAGTAACCAATACAAATGATAGCCACTGTTTGAATGTTTGTTATTATGTAACCCATAGAATAAAGAACTTGATATTGTGGTCCAGAAATGTTGCTAAATGAATTGATATTAGGCGCAATGACCAGAAATGATGCCCAATGAAAGCAATTGCAAAGCACTTGAATGAAATGAAAGGCACAATGAAGGCATTATACAGTTAACAGTCTAAAATAATGCTTTAATCTAGTTTTCTAATTGAACAACCCAAGCTTGGCATGCCTTTCGACAAGTGATATGGTGTTCAATTCCGATACAAAATTGACAGCTAGATTAAACTTAACTAAAGACGAGCACGGCAAGGAACAGGATTTCGCAGATCAAGAACTGAAATCACACACCTGATAAATTTAAAACCAGCAATTGATTTTACAGGTTCTTGTGTTGACTGACGAGTCTTCATAGTTCATTAGACTGCAGATCTTAGGTACTATTGTACAATTGTAGTAGTACCTTGTGATATTTTTCATTCTCATTTTAGGATAACAACGAAACTCAAAAAAATCAACTGCGAACACCAAAGACCTTATAAAGCAGTGTCTACATTGTCAAACACAAAGGAATACTTCATATTTCATCAAATACCGTGTCCATGACTTGTTGCAGTGTAATTTTACTCCAGCAACACTCAATCCAAATTATTTCTACTCACTGAATCCTCGTGCATTACTTATTAACATGAAAGAACTTGACGGAAAAAAAATGAGATCTTATTAGAAAAAATGAGAATCATCCCATGTCCATATAACTCAGCTATTTATGATGATCGACACGTTTACCATAAAATGGACAGTGCTACAGGACCAATTTCATACCCTGACTAGAAAAGATTGAGCATGATATGACCTGTTCCGCGCCTATGGGATACAGCCCTTGGAGTTTAGACTCCAACAAATAATGTTGAACATGTATCAGTAAAATCTGTCGACATGGACATTGCAGAGCCTTTTCTCAGCCCTCCTCCGCTTTTTCCCATCATGAGGCAACTGCAAAAAGAAATGAAATTATATGGTGAGTTTCAAATTCAACAGAAAACCATCTACATCTGTGGGAGTAAGGCACGCTACAAATAAAATATAGACATCTTGAAATCCATTTTCTGTGTGGGTGATGGAGAATGAGAAAATATGAACAAAATACACAAGATTCGGCACTCCATTAAAGCACAGATGCTGCATCTCCTTGTACAATACACAATTATATTATTAAACCTAAATGGCACATGAACAACAGTAAATAGCCCATCTCAATTGCATGCATTGCATTGAAGTTGCTACCCTGCTAATTTTAATTTCAACTTCAAAGGAATCAATCAAAAGCACACTATCATGTTCTGTGATATTTCTTTTAGCTGTACCTCACTACTGAGAAAATGCGGAACCCTGACCCTTTTGGAGCCATCGGGTAGACGTTTATAAGGTGATAGGTTCTCCATAGCAGTAAAAGCATTGCAGACCTGCAAACAAAATGAAGACCAATGTTTGGTTAAATAAACTTGGTCTTAGAGACCCACAGAATTTCAAACCATACGCCTAAGTATATACTGAGATTTTGTTCAGGTTTCATCATATGTAGCTCATCAGATCCAAATTGCCCCATGAAGCTCCACCTTACAGAGAACCAAGGAGAATACCACAGAACAAAAATCATCGGACCTGCTTTCTTACCTGACTTTGAATAGCCCCAATTAGCATGTCCTGACAACCTGATGCATGCACGTTTTCTAAACTGGGGCACTGAAGCAACAATCTCTCTGAATAAATTTAAAAGGACAATTAATTATCGAACTTTTTATGAAAACCAAGTTGAATTTAATATGCAACCACTAAGAAGAGGGAAATTAAATAACTACCTGGGTGCAAATTTTTACAAGAATTTAGATTCAGATCATTGAGCTGCGGGCAGTTTAAATATAGAGCCTGCACATTAATTGGAGAAAAAGCTTAACACTAACAAGCTAGAGAAAGAATATGCAACAAACTTCTTCATAGTAGTGAAACTCACATCCAAGCCAGAACAGCCCCATAAACTTAGTTTCTTCAATCGGTTATGTTTGATAATTAACTTCTGATTCACAAGGTGAAGATTAGAATTGGATGTCTCCAGTGATTTGCAGTTGTTTTCATCAGCAGTTTGACTTTCGGAATTAGGATCACATATGGTCATGCCACAGTCCATAAGTTCAAGGAGTGGCAATTGAGCTGAAGCAAATTGAATGCCACCTAAAACATGTGCACAGCAGATTAGTGGTGGAAACTTGAGCAAATATTGAAGTTTGTGAAGAAATATAGGATACAAAAGGAAATTTACTTGAGGTCACGTTGGGGCAAAGGGCAAGGAGAAGTCTTGACAATGTTTCAGGGAATGTATTGCAGATTATCCCAATTCCACTGTCACTGATACTAGATCTGTTACAAAAACAAATTAACATATATAGTCAAACATATATGCTCACATTTGACTTTTTGATTATATTTGTGCACCATGCTGAGTTGCTACATATATTAGTTGTCTCCAAATTGAAAGCATCTTCTAAAATCCCCTAAAATAAAGGCAATTAGAATAAGGACATAAACATACCCACTGAGATCAAGCAATTCTAGATTTGGATAGCTGGAAGCAATTGCAGCAACTGATGCATCGGTAACTTCAGATCCAAGAACTAGAGAAAGCATTTGCAACCCTCTGAATGATGAAATATACAAACAATCGTTATAAGGCTTATTAAAGGATGTGGGTGCTAACCAATTACAACTGATTCAGAACATACAAAATAAAACGCACATAAACAGTAGTAAAGCTTAACAAAGGAAAGCCAACTCTATAACCTATAAATTACATATTGACTTACAGAATGGGCTACAATCGAGCAATGTGCTGAAAGTTGGAGGATAGGAATGGAAAGAATCAAATCCTGAACATCAGACCTTATGATACCATTGTACTTTTCATTGTAAAATTTAAAAGTATCAATAGATTATAAACACGCACAGCCACACCAAAAAATTTAAATATAGCTGATGTACTTTT